GGATTAATTGGTTTGATGTGTTTAATTTGGTAATATGAAACTTAATAAAAATTATTTTTTAAAAAAGGAAATACATCATGTTCAGAACGGTTTCACTACTGTTTCCAATTGCTGACTTCTGCTAATAAAAGGAGCCTCTGCAGAACTAGCCGGCAGCCTGCTTGGAGCATGCTTACCAGCGTGCTTCTGCGCAGCTCACCTGCATCCAACCTCCTGTCGTCCTCATGATTCCTACAATCCTCTCCTGTTGTTTCCAGCGAATGGCATTCAGAAGCAACTCTGCCTCCATCTGTGATGGGCAGAGCAAAGCCATCCTGGCTAGTAGCTGACATAGCCTTCTTCTCCATGAATTACTCCATTCCTCTTTCAAAGCCATCCAAGTTGGTGGCCATCCCTGACTCCTGTGGGAGTGAGTTCCATAGATTAGCTATGCACTGCAGGAAGAAGCACCCCATTTCATGTGTCCTGAATCCTTTGACATTCAGCTTCATCAAATATCCACGAGCTCTAGTGTTATCAGAGAGGAAGAACAACTTTCCTCCGGCCACTTTCTCCATGCTCTGCAGGATATTCTAAACCTCCATCACATCACGTCTTACTTGACCTTTCTCTAAACTAAAACCTGTCCCCAAAACTGCAACCTTGCTTTATGGAGGAGTCACTCTGTCCCATTGGCCACTTTGGTGGCCTGGAGTTTCAGACAAGGGTCATCCCCAGTCGTACCTGTAGATGCCAGGCTTGGACCTGCATAGCAGGTCCTGAGTCACAGCCTTCCAGTGTATGACCATCTCTGTACGGGTGTCTGGATCTGTCTTTGCTAACCTGGTGACCTCAAAATGCTTTAAACTGCAACCCCCACCTGCTCCAGACAACTGGGAGTTGTACTCTGAACATTTGGAGGGCTCCAGGTTTGCAAAGCCTGGTATAGATATATGGATTACTGTGTTGTTGCTCTTTTTTTAAAAAAAAGCTCCAACACCTCTTGTTCATTCTCTATGTTTTTATTTAAACCAAAAAAAGAGCACATTTAGAAAACACAATCCATTGCATTCTTCATGTTCACTTTCTTCCCAAGGAATTGTCCTTCTCCAATTGAAGTATGCCTCTCTTTTTCCAAATAAACATCTACTTTCAAGGGGAGAGGGGTTTTCTTCCTTTCAGAGCAATGTGGCACCCCTTTCTTTAAAGCAGCCATTCCCACCCCCACCCCCAGAGGACAGGGGGTGGGCAGTTGGTGGAACTTCTGTACAGTGGTTATGATGGTTTGAGGGTGCTGCAGAAACAGCTCCTGACCAAAGCCCTTCTCTAACTAAGGCTGCAGTCCTAGGCACACTTAAAACAAGAGCAAATGGGCAACTTACTGCCAAGTAAATTCACATAAGTTTGTACTGCACAGGAAAAAAAGAAAAGCCAGGGAATGGAAACAGCATTACAGTGGTACCTCAGGTTACAGACGCTTCAGGTTACAGACGCTTCAGGTTACAAACTCCGCTAACCCAGAAATAGTACCTTGGGTTAAGAACTTTGCTTCAGGATGAGAACAAAAATTGCACGGCGGCAGCAGGAGGCCCCATTAGCTAAAGTGGTACCTCAGGTTAAGAACAGTTTCAGGTTAAGAACGGGATTCCAGAATGAATTAAGTTCTTAACCCGAGGTACCACTGTATGGGGAACGGTTGAGGGAGTTGGGTGTGTTCACTGTTCAGCCTGAAGAAGAGGACACTGAGAGGAGATGCCATAGAGGCCATCTTCCAATAGCTATAGTGCTGTCACGTGGAAGATGGAGCAAGCTTCTTTCCTCCTGCTTGCAGGCTCCGAAACAATGACTTGCAAGAAAGGAGATTCTGTCAAGACATCAGGAAGAACTTTCTGGTGGTAAGAGCTGTTTGACAGTGGAACTGACACCCTCAGAAGGTGGTGGGCTCTCCTTCCTTGAAGATTTTAAAGCTGAGGTTGGATGGGATTCTTTAGCTGTCATTCCTGCATTGCAGGAGGTTGGATTAGATAACTCTCGGGGTTATTTCCAACTCTACAATTCTATGAAGGTTATGAACTTTACAGAGAGAAAATGGGGGGGGGGGTGTTTCCTCTCTGGTGGGCTCTCCATTAGTGGCAACCAACTGTCAGCTTACAACTCTAGTGCTTACATGTTCCTCTTATATCTGTGGGAGAGAGCATCTTGCTTCTCTCTGGAACAGGGGTAGAGAACCTCAGACTCGGAGACCAAATATTGTCCTCTGGCCCTTGGAACGTTCATAGGCCACCCCCCCCTCCAGGCCACCCTCAGAAGGTGGTGGGCTCTCCTTCCTTGAAGATTTTAAAGCTGAGGTTGGATGGGATTCTTTAGCTGTCATTCCTGCATTGCAGGAGGTTGGATGAGATAACTCTCGGGGTTATTTCCAACTCTACAATTCTATGAAGGTTATGAACTTTACAGAGGGTGGGCTCTCCATTAGTGGCAACCAACTGTCAGCTTACAACTCTAGTGCTTACATGTTCCTCTTATATCTGTGGGAGAGAGCATCTTGCTTCTCTCTGGAACAGGGGTAGAGAACCTCAGACTCGGAGACCAAATATTGTCCTCTGGCCCTTGGAACGTTCATAGGCCACCACCCCCCTCCAGGCCACACTTCTCACCGCCCCTGCTTTGCACCTCAAGTGTTTTTCCAGCAACTGCAACGTGCCCTTGAATTCCCACTTGTCTGGGTGGAGGATAAATGCACTTGCTGCTCCACCCACTTTTGGCCTCCAGCCTCATCAGCCATGAGGCCCTCATAAGGTTTCTCAGAAGGCAATGTGGCCCTTGGGATGAAAAAGGCTCCCAAGTCTTGCTCTGGAGTAATATTTTGCACCATCTCTGGATAGCTAACGTGGGCCATCTCCTTGTCCTGCAAGCCAACACACTACAAAAGGGAAAAGACGGAGGGGTGCTGGAACCAGATATTTCATGTACTAACTGAGAGCCCTGTTGATATGTCTTGCAATCTTGGTTTTGGCACAGTACTGATGGGTTTTGGTCTCTGTTTTTAAAGCCATTGGGGAGGGGGAGTTACTGTCATACCCCCAAAATTCAGTAATGAAGAATATATTAAACATGGTGGTTCCTTCTAGGAAAGAATGATGGTTCTTGTTTTTATTAAGCTGTAAGTTACCTAAACAGAAAAGCTCGTGTATGGTACAGGATACACCCCCCTTTCCATAAACTTGGAGCCATTCGTGGAAGGTATAATATACATAAAATGAAATATCTGAGACCATATACGTGGGTGTCTTTCTTATGAGAGGGACAGTCACTCACTGCTTAAAAGCCACCATTACTATTGACAGCAAAACAAGCAATAAAGATAGAAGCCTCTTTTTTTGGGGGGTGGGGATTTAGATATAACATTCCTTTCCCCACCACGTCCCCTATCTATAAGCACCAGATAACCTTTCTTCAAGTTCCTCTTTTTTCAGCGTAGACACATCCACTTGACATTCACCTGGGAAGAGATATTGATAAAAAGCAGAAAATGTGTGTGTGTGTGTGTGAGAGAGAGAGAGAGAGAGAGAGAGAGAGAGAGAGAGAGAAGTTGGGGCTTGTTTTGCTTTGTTAGGGGTGGGAAGCTACTAGAGGCAACACATTAGGTTGCCATAGGCCTCCCTATCTCACTGGGGATAATTTGTCAATGGGAAGAGGAACAGGGTCATCTTCCAACATGAGAGTGTCAGCAATTTGGTTTCAGAGGATACGCCACACAAAGGGAGTATGGTGGAATTTGGGGGATATAGATAACATGGAGCACTTATGGGGTGCTTTGCAGTGTTTGAAAGTATTTCTCATTATGTGACAACCCTTAAGACAGTCCCTGTAAGGTAGGCCAATAGCAGTAATAATAGTCCCATGTTCCATATTGTGGGGATTGAGTGAGTGAGTGAGAGACACACTCACACACACAGAGGGGAGGGGGAGAGAAGGGGTGCCAACTTGAGTTAATGGGGGGGCAGGTGAGCCCTGCCCTACACAATCGATCACAAGATGCAGCACACATACTCCATTTGAATGGCAATGCCCATTGACTTTGGGGCAGGGACGGCCTTCTCAAATATTTTATTGAGGGGGGGCTGAAGGGACCTCGGCCCCTAGGAGTTGGCTCGTGTGTGTGTGTGTGTGTGTGTGTGAAGGGGGGGAGAGACTATCTCACCAAAGGCCCCTTAGTGAGGGCCAGGCACAAGGTGAGGTTAAAAATTCATGACTGGCTCTCCCATATGACTTAGAGAAAGGGGAATATCAGATGTGGATCAGGGTCACAACACTGGGGATTTAACACACAAACTGCACCTGCAAGCCATAATTAGCCATGGGGTGGGAGAGAGAAAGAGAAGAGTGGGTGATTCATAGTTGAAGAGAGATTAAAACACAGGACAACAATGCAGCTTCTACTTTTAATGTCACCGCAGAAGTTCTTCTCTCTCTCTCTCTCTCTCTCCAATATGGTGTCCTAGTTAGTGGGTCAGGTTAGTAGCACCTGGGAGACCAGGGTTCAAATCCCCATTCAGTCATGAAGTTCACCGGGGGATCATGGGCCAGTCACGCACTCTCAGCCTGACCTACCTCACAAGACTGTTGTGAGGAGAAAATGAGGAGAAAAACCATGCATGGCATCTTGGGCTCCTTGGAGGAAGGTGAGCTATATATCCAATCAATCAATTTGCAGGGGGGCGTCAGAATGTGCCCATTTCAAGAGGGAAAGGGGGGGGTAGAAAAGATCGAATTAAAGCGGTGGTTCAGGCATTATTATTATTATTATTATTATTATTATTCTTAATCACTTAATGTGGAAAGCAGAACCAAAGTGTTGGAATACAATGATTCCGCCTCCTTCAAGGAAGCCACCTGTTCGTTTGCTTTTTGAAAATGGGGGGGGAGGGGGGCTTGGAAACAACCGGAGGTGGCGAGAAACAGCAGCAGCAACAAGTCCTACAAACCGGAGAAAAGCGGCTCTCCCCTCCCTCCCCTTTTCAAGGGTCACCCTGGTGCTCCCAGGGGACCGGGTCGCTCTCCTCCCCCGCGACGGTGTTCCTCCGGTCCTTCCAAAAGTGCTCCACGTCGGGCAGAACTTTCTCCTGCGCCGCCGCCGCTTCCCTGTCCTCCTCTTCCTTCAGGTCCTGCAAAGACTGGGGGGTCTCCTCGCTCCTGGGCCTCCGGGCTTCATCTCCCCTGCAGCTCAGCCCCCTCCGGAGGCTCCTCAGCCCTTCCCGGAATTCCCCGGAGGTGGCCAAAAAGACGCCTGGGTTGAGGGCGCCATCAAGAAAGATGAGGACTTCAGCGGCGAAGATCAAAGCCGGCGGCGGCTGGGGCCCCCCTCCGCTGTGCCTCTCCCACAGCCAGGCCACCCAGGCCGGCAGCCACGTGGCCTGGAAGAGGAGGGTGAGGCCCAGGAGCACCCAGGTCACCTTCTTGCTCTGGGGGCTTCCGGGCTTGGCCAGTCGGTTCCGCCTGCCCCCTCTCTGGGCGCGCAGAGCCCTCCAGTAGCAAGAGAAGGTGAAGCCCGCGGGCGCCAGGTAGGCGATCAGGGGGTAGACCTTACTGAAGACGTCCATGAAGTTGGCGGCGTAAGGGGGGCTCCGGAAGACGCAGTAGAGGAGCCCGCCCGGGGCGCCGCCGGCCTCCAGGTAGGTGAAGAGCAGGTGCGGGAGAGGCAGGAGCAGCGCCGCCAGCCAAGCCGAGGCTAGGAGCCCCGCCAAGCGCCGCCAGCTCAAGCCCAGGCACTTGGAAGAAGATGAAGAAGAAGAAGATGAGGAGGAGACCACATGCTTGTACCTGGCTTGCCCCACCGCCGCCCAGGTGAGGCTTTTGGCCACCAGGCAGCCGTGGAGGAGCCAGTCCGTCGCTTTGCAGACGAAGCTGCCGAAGACCCAGGAGCGCCGCGAGTAGGTGGCGATGCGCGTGGGGAGGCAGCAGACGACCAGGATCAGGTCCGCCGAGCACAGGTTGAGCACCAAGGCGTTGGCGGGCGAGATCTTCCCTCTTCGGAGCTCGTGGATGAGGACCGTCAAGAGGAGCAGGTTCCCGGCCAAGCTCGCCAGGCACAGCCCGGCCAGCAGGAGGGGAAGGACCGCGCTTCCAGCCCGCCACCACTGGGGTCCCCCGGCGAAGAAGACGGCTTGGGAGCTGTTCATGGTGCTGAAAGGTTCCTCCGCGGCGAGATCCGCGCAGTGGCGTCGGAAGAAATGCGAAGTGAGAAGGCGCGTTGGGTTGAGTGGGTGGATGGAGAAGGGTTGCTGTCAACTCTCTCTCTCTCGGAAGGGGAGTGGGTGGAGGTGAGGAGGTGGGAGGAGAGAGGAGAGAGGACTACGCCAAACCTTCTCGACAGGGAATCCGGAGCTCTTGACCGTGGTAGCTGGAATGGAGCGCTTGCTAATATTTCCTCCCAACCCCCAACCCCCTACTCCGGGGAAAGAAGCCACCCACCAGAGTGGGCGACACGGAGGAGCTGCAGGCGGGAGAAACGGCTCGGGCGCACCTGGGCAGGTGAGCAAAGGACGGAGAGATCGGAGGAAAGTGAGAGGCACGCCTGTAGCGCTTCTCCCTCCAAAGGCGTCCCGTGGCTCCAAAGGACAGGGAAAGGCAGCTCTGAGACCCCTGGTCTTTTTGAGTTCCTGGGTTATGAATGAGTGAGTGAGTGGGTTTTTTGAAGAAAAAAAAAAAGAGGCCAAAGAAGCGCAGAGCAACAAATCTTGCCCTCTCTCACACATACACTTTTCCCGGTCTGGAATCTCAGCAATTAAAAAAGAGCAATCACTCTCTGGCGCGCTGTGAAGAGCCGCGGAGCTGTCCACGAAGCGTGGTGCTGGACTTCCAGCGTCGGCGTTCGTCTTCCCGTGCAGTGATTGGAATGCCTGTCCCGCCCGCTCTTTTGTAAGGGGAGAAGGGCAGGCTGGTTCTTTATGAAACCCACAAAGGGCTGCTCTGTGTGGTGTCCCCAATTATTAATCAAGCTCCCGCCAGCCTTAAGAATACTAATAATTTTTTAATAAAACCAGCAGCTAAGGGATAGCCTGCCTTAGTTCAGTGGTGGAGCATCTACTTTGCATCAGGGAAGTATAAGGTTCAACGCCTGTCATCTCCAGGGTCGGCTGGAAAAGTCTTCTGGTCTGAAACACTGGAAAGCCTCTGACAGTTATTGTAGAAAATACTGTGCTAAAAGGACCAATGGTCTGACTCTGCATACAGCGGATTAATAGAATCATAAAATCATAGGGTTATAGAGTTGGAAGGGAACCGACGGTAATCTAGTCCGATCAGCTGCAGTGCCGGAATCTTTTGCTCAACATAGGGCTCAAACCCATGAGCAACTGAGTTCGAGTGTAAGCATGGGTAACTTCATGCCCAGGGGTCAAATGCGGCCCCCAGGTCTCTCTTATTGGACCCCAGGTTTGATTTCTCTCCAGGTCCCACCCCACACTGCTCCTGCTCCATGCTTCCTTCTGCTTCACACCCTACCTCCTGCCCCCCCCCCGATGTAAAAGGTAAAGGGAAAGGGAACCCTGACCATTAGGTCCAGTCGTGACCAACTCTGGGGTTGCGGCGTTCTTCTTGCTTTACTGGCTGAGGGAGCCGGCGTACAGCTTCTGGGTCATGTGGCCAGCATGACTAAGCCGCTTCTGGCAAACCAGAGCAGCACACGGAAACACTGTTTACCTTCCCGCCAGAGCGGTACCTATTTATCTACTTGCACTTTGAGGTGCTTCGAACTGCTAGGCTGGCAGGAGCAGGGACCGAGCAACGGGAGCTCACCCCATCGCGGGGATTTGAACCGCCAACTTTCTGATCGGCAAGTCCTAGACTCTGTGGGTTTAACCCACAGCGCTACCCACGTCCCATCCCCCTGGATGTAGTGTGTCCTTAAATTGTGGGGCTGCCTCTTGCTTGCCTGGATTCCAGCAATGCAGGGATAACGACGAGATAACCCTGTGTGCCACTTCCAACTCTACAGTTCTATGATTCTATGAAGTCAACATAGAAACCTCTGAGCTGTGTCTCCCTGGACTGCAGTCCCACCCCACTGGCATGTGATCCCTGGATGCTTCCTCAGATTGAAAATATTTTCCCACAGTTGTTCAAGAGGGAAAGGGGTACTCTTGTGGGGCCAAGCTGCTTATGTGATTGTGTCCTCCCATTCAGATCTGCTGTTGCACACCCTCTGCCATTGCCTGAGGCAGGTTTGTTGGCATCTCAAGACAGGGTTTTTCCTGTGGTGGCACCGTGTGAGAGAGAGGGTGTGGAACTCCCTGTCCCAAGAAGTAAGGCTCTATTCCACTTGTATCTGTTGAAGTATTCCATTTGAAGCAAGGTGCTTAATACATTGGTTGTTAGTGCTGCTCTTTGGGATTTTGCTGTTGCTCTTAGTTTTTGTGCTTTGCTTGTAAGCCCTTTCAAACAATTGAGACTTTCAGGGGAAAGTATATACATAGCTCAGGGACAGGTTTCATCCCCAGCAATCCCAGGTAGAGGTGGAAAGACTCTACACCTAAAACCCTGGAGAACTGCTACCAGTCACTGTAGACACTACTAAGCCAGATGGACCAATATTTGCTAACTCATCTGTAAAGCAGGAATAATTTTTTAAAAAATAAAATGAATGTAAGATATGTGCAGCATTCGTAGTTTTGCAATATCCCCCCATGTACCTGTCTTTGTCATTGTATTTCCCACCTGTGGTCTCAAACTTTTTTCTTTGGGCCACACTTTCAGAATAAAAATTTGCTTGTGCCACACTGAATTTTTCATTGATAAGAAATACATTGGAAAACAAAAAAATAAAGATCTCCTAGCAGTGCTTGATTTATAACATTAAAACACAGCCACATTATAATATGATCATGGGACACCCAGAAAGGATAAATCAATGCAGCTATTAAAAAAATGAATGATTCCCAACATATAATTATAAATGAGCCTTTTGTATATATACCTTAATTATGTATACAAACTCAGTGAAAGGTGTGATCTGGCTTTTGCCATGTAATCTTATTGATATTAGGTGTAATTTAAGACAAACAAATTCTATCACCCCATCAACAGAAAGAAGCCTTTCTCTCTTCTGATCTTTCATATTTGTCAGAGTTGAAAATCCCTGTTCACAACAATACGTTGTGGAGAACTATACATAGAACAATAGCCAATGCTCTCGCTCTCATTTTGAAAAGAGATCTAGCCATATTCTGGGAATAAAGAAATAAATGATACCATACTATACTATACTATACTACACTGCACTGAAATGTTTAAATGCACTGAAATGTTTAAATGTTTATTTGATTGCCCTCGAATGTTCCCGCCACTCTTGCCGCCCTGTCCAGCCACGCCCACGAGAACCACTGCTAAAAACTTCCTTTTTTCCCTTTCTTTTTCAGTAGGGATGTGTTCTGAAATGCAAATGTAAAGCCTGCATTGTCCCCTGGACACCCCCTTCTCACTCATTTTCTTGCTGTCTTTGCTGTTTGGGGGCAGGCGGGCTTCCTCTGTAAACTGGAAAAAAAATCATCATAATTTCCATCTCATTTTCTGAGTGCTCAAAGGATTCCACCTGAATATTGCCAGTTATCTTTTCAACAACCGCATAAGATAATTAGTTTCATTGCATCCATATTGTCAGGCAGGGGTGGGAGTGTGGTGTGTGGCTGGAATAATAAGGGATTTATCCCACTACTGGGATGCGAGTGGCGCTGTGGTCTAAACCACTGAGCCTAGGGCTTGCCGGTCAGAAGGTCGGTGGTTTGAATCCCAGCAGCAGGGTGAGCTCCCATTGCTCACTCCCACCTCCTGCCAACCTAGCAGTTCGAAAGCACATCAAAGTGCAAGGAGATAAATAGGTTCCGCTCCGGCAGGAAGGTAAATGGTGTTTCCGTGCGCTGCTCTGGTTTGCCAGAAACGGCTTAGTCATGCTGGCCACATGACCCAGTAAAACTGTCTGTGGACAAACATCGGCTCCCTCGGCCAGTAAAGCAAGATGCGCGCCACAACCCCAGAGTCATCTGTGACTGGACTTAACTGTCAGGGGTCCTTTTCTTCTTCTTTTTTAAAAGATATTTATTAAGATTTTCAAAATATTACAAAATAAAAAAAGAAAAAAGAAAAGTACAAAATAAAAATAGTTAAAAACAATTCAGTCTTTCAATCACTTATCTTTCATTTGCTTATTTCCCGGACCTCCTCACACCTCCCTTTTCTGTATTCCAATTCAGTTTGTTAGTTCAGTAAATCCCTCCTCTCTTTGTTTATCCTAATCTTCAATCTTAAAGTATTGTAACATTAGATTTTTACCTATTAATAGTCCATTTTTTCATATTCCCTTATAACATTACAGCTAGAAACCACTTAGTTTCTATCCAACATCATTCTAACATTCATTAATTTTACAATATTTCTGTAAATAGTCTTTAAACTTTTTCCAATCTTCTTCCACTGATTCCTCTCCCTGGTCTCGGATTCTGCCAGTCATTTCTGCCAGTTCCATATAGTCCATCACCTTCATCTGCCATTCTTCCAAGGTGGGTAGATCTTGTGTCTTCCAATACTTTGCAATAAGTATTCTTGCTGCTGTTGTGGCATACATAAAGAAAGTCCTATCCTTCTTTGGCACCAACTGGCCGACTATGCCCAACAGGAAGGCCTCTGGTTTCTTTAGAAAGGTATATTTAAATACCTTTTTCATTTCATTATAGATCATCTCCCAGAAAGCCTTGATCTTTGGGCACGTCCACCAAAGGTGAAAGAATGTACCTTCATTTTCCTTACATTTCCAACATTTATTGTCGGGCAAATGATAGATTTTTGCAAGCTTGACTGGTGTCATGTACCACCTGTATATCATTTTCATAATATTCTCTCTTAGGGCATTACATGCCGTAAATTTCATACCTGTGGTCCACAACTGTTCCCAGTCAGCAAACATAATGTTATGTCCAACATCTTGTGCCCATTTAATCATAGCAGATTTCACCGTTTCATCCTGAGTATTCCATTTCAACAGCAAGTTATACATCTTTGACAAAATCTTAGTTTTGGGTTCTAACAGTTCTCTTTCTAATTTTGATTTTTCCACCTGGAAGCCAATTTTCTTGTCCAAATTGTATGCTTCCATTATCTGATAATAATGAAGCCAGTCTCGCACTTTGTCTTTTAATTTCTCAAAACTCTGCAATTTCAATTTGTCTCCTTGTTCCAAAATTTCCCAATATTTTGGCCATTTGGCCTCCATATTGAGATTTCTCTGAGCCTTTGCTTCCATCGGTGACAACCACCTTGGGGTTTTATTTTCAAGTAAGTCCTTATATCTTATCCAGACATTTAACAATGCTTTCCTAACAATATGGTTTTTAAATGCTTTATGTGCTTTAACCTTGTCATACCACAAATATGCATGCCACCCAAAAACATTATTGAAACCTTCTAAATCCAAAATGTCTGTGTTCTCAAGAAGCAGCCATTCTTTCAACCAGCAGAATGCTGCTGATTCATAATAAAGTTTGAGGTCTGGCAGGGCAAATCCACCTCTATCCTTTGCATCAGTTAATATTTTAAATTTTATTCTGGGCTTCTTGCCCTGCCAGACAAATCTAGAAATGTCTCTCTGCCACTTCTTGAAACAGTCCACTTTGTCCAAGATTTGCAATGATTGAAACAAAAATAACATTCTTGGCAATACATTCATCTTTATAACAGCAATTCGACCTAACAAGGAAAGCTTCAAGTTTGACCATATCTCTAGGTCCTTTTTCACTTCTGACCAACATTTCTCATAATTGTCTTTAAATAGGTTTAAGTTCTTAGCAGTCATATTAATCCCCAGGTATTTTACTTTCTTAACCAATGTTAAACCTGTCTCCTTCTGAAACCTCTCTTTCTCAATCGATGTTAAATTTTTCTCAAGCACCTTAGTTTTTAACTTGTTCAACTTAAATCCTGCCACATGACCAAATTCCTGAATCAATTCTAATACCCTTTTAGTACTAGATTCTGGCTCCTGTAACGTCAATACTAAATCATCTGCAAAAGCTTTCAATTTGTACTGTTTGGCTCCGACCTGTATACCTTTGATCAGACGGTCCCTTCTGATCATATTTAGCAGAACCTCCAGGACCGAAATAAAAGCAATGGGGAAATTGGGCAGCCTTGTCGTGTCCCTTTCTCTATCTTAAATTCCTCTGTCACCACATTGTTAACTATTAGTTTAGCCTTTTGTTCTGAATAAATTGCACTTATACCATTTTCAAACCCTTGACCAACCCCCATCCCCTGAAGATTTTTCTTCATGAAACTCCAAGAAATATTGTCAAAGGCTTTCTCCGCATCTACAAAAATTAAAATAGCTTTAGTATTAATATTCACTTGCAACATCTCCAAAATGTTGATTATATTCCTCGTGTTGTCAGACAAGTGTCTACCCGGGAGAAAGCCGGCTTGGTCTTTATGTATCTCCTCCACTAATACTTTTTTTAACCTTTTAGCCAAAATATCTGCAAAAATTTTATAATCCACATTAAGCAGGGATATGGGGTGGTAGTTCTTAAGTTGTGTCTTTTCAGACTCATTTTTCGGTATTAGTGTAATATAGGCTTCCTTCCACGACTCTGGCGCTTTTCCCCCCTCCAAAATTTCATTACAAACCTCCTTTAGTGGTTGAATTATCCAATCCTTCAAGGATCTATAATATTTTGAGGTTAAGCCATCTGGCCCTGGAGATTTGCCCAACCGCATGTTCTGGATGGCACCTTCCACCTCGTGTTCTGTTATTTTGTAGTTCAACATTAGCTTATTTTCTTGAGAGATTTTTTGAAGTCCATTTGTTTTTAAAAATTGGTCTAAATAGGGGTCCTTTACCTTTTATCCCACTGCTACCATGGGGTCATTGTGTAGCACCAAACAAGTGATTCTCAGCCCCAGCTTCCTATCAGTAACATGAGGCTAAAAATGGCCTACTTTACAGGTCTGTTGTGAACACAACAAGCCAAATCAAAGCTGATGTCTGTGTTTGAGGTACCCAGATGGGCAGGGTATAAATAATGAAATTATTATTATTATTAGTCAGTGAATGAGTGTCTCACTCTTTCAAAAGAGAGTCAAAATATTAGAGGTCTTCGCCCAACATGGGGTATGAACCCACAACCCTAATATTAAAAGTCTCATGCTCTGCTCACTGAGCCATCCTCAAAGTCGACATTTTTATGTATCTCATGAGAAGTGTGTGGCATGAAATCTGCCGAATACTTGCAGGCAGATAAACAAAAGAATGCACAGAACTTTGGGACTGTTGTGGGGTGGGAATTCCAACATCAGCCAAAATGCACCTTTCCCAGAAGAATGCAAGTCGCATTAACTGATACCAAATTCCTTTGTTCACACTCCCTTTGGTAACAACCTCTTTTGTGAGCGCTTTGCAATCTTGTCTCCTGCTGTTTATTGAAAAGGAAATCCTGGATTCCGAACTCAAAAACAAACTGGCACAAGCTGTCGACAGAAGGCTTGAAGAGGAAACTGGCTCCCTCCAGCTTTTGAATAAAGAAGATGCGAAGTCAACAAGCTGCCTGTTGGTGTTTGCTTTCGAGGATGATTCAGACACACATGCAGCGAGGAATTTTAATAAATAAAATGAGATTGCATCAAAGGCCGGTTTGTTTTTCTAATAAGAAGCAAAATGTGGTGTCGTGTCGTGTGCATCTGTTGCACAAAAGATCTTGATCATATCCAGCTGCAACCCACAAATAATGTCCACTCGCACATCGGCACCCCACGTTCAGGCGAGCCCGTGCAGTCTGTGTCACATTGAGGCATGTGCCAAAGAGGCCACTCCAGATTACTCAAGCCAGTGAGCCAAGCTGCACTGTAGATGAAAAGGAGGGAACCACACAGGGTCACTATCTAACAGGAGGATTCCTTTTGTTCTGCCCAGACACTGAGGTCCAGCGCCGAGGGACTTCTGGCAGTTCCCTCATTGCAAGAAGCAAAGCTACAGGGAACCAGGCAGAGGGCCTTCTTGCTAGTGGTGCCTGCCCTGTGGAACGCCCTCCCATCAGATGTCGAAGAGATAAACAACTGCCTGACATTTAGAAGACATTCAGGGAAGTTTTTAATGTGTGACATCTTAGTGTATTTTTGGTCTTTGTTGGAAGCCGCCCAGAGTGGCTGGGGAAACCCAGCCAGATGGGCGGGGTACAAATAATAAATTATTATTATTAATTATTATTATTATTATTATTATTATTATTATTTTGGCAGTGGCAGGTTTAGGGCAATGGATGCTGAACTAGATGGGCCACTGGGTTCTACTTATATTATCTTTAGATAATAATGTGCATTATGCCGCTGGCTTCAAAATGCGGCAAGGCAGTCTGGCTGCAACCGGAGACCTCCTACTCATTCAGCTGAATGGGGCCCTCAGCCCCTGCCCCCAAAGTCCTCCCCTAAATGGTGCCACCAGCCATACCTCTGTAGCAGAAGTGAAATCAGAGGTAGCTTCTAGCAGAGAAGGAAAGTGGAATGCGGAAAGATCTTTCCTGCGATGAACCAGCCCAGGTAGAGAGGTCAGCAAGGCGCAGTTGCTAAATGAGGAGCAATTCACCCGGGGAATCAGTCTTGGCCCCCTTCTCTTCCTCCCCCTCCCCACCAATCTTTGTTAACAATGTCACCACTGCTCAGTGTTAGGCTGACTTACTAACCTTATCTTGATTGCCTGTCATCTTTCTTAATCAAAGCACTTTGTTGGCACTGGAGGTGGTGAAAGGAAGAGGAGGGGACAGATTCTGAACTGTTGAGTGTTTACCTGCACACAGAGTGTCCTGCAAATTTGAAACACCCCTGGGAGGAGTGACTCACCTCATTTCCCCCCCAATTAAACCCCTTCCCCTCAATAAGTTGAAATGAAAATGAAAACAATTATCATTATGAACTCATGCTGGGAGTGATGTGGTGGTGTTGGGGAGGCGGGGCGGGGAGGAAATGTGTAAAGTGGAAGAGATGGGGAGAGGAGGCAGCCCATGGAAGAAAATGACCAGGTGAGCCAAATGCAACCACCTGATTTCCTTTGAGGAAAGAGGCTCTTGACTCAAATGAGTCCTCTTGAAATTAGATAGTCTTGAAGAAAGGAGGTGGGACAGTTTATGAAACTGCTGGGATCGAGTTTGGACGAAGGGAGAGATGGAGACCTGTTGACCTGCCTATCTATCTATCTATCTATCTATCTATCTATCTATCTATCTATCATCTATCTATCTATCTATCTATCTATCTATCTATCTATCTATAGCCCACCCACCACCCTAAGATCCCACGGCAGGTCACAACATTAAAACGCAACATTAAAAACAGTTTAACTCAACCTACAACCATAAAAATAAGGTGGGCCCTGAAACTCGAACCAGCAGCTTCAGGTTACGAGAAAGGAGATTCTGATTAAACTTCAGGGAGGCCTTTCTGACAATAAGAGCCCTTCTCAGGTGGAAAAGACTCCCTCTTGGAGGGAGGTGGAAAAGGCTTCCTTGGAGGTTTTTAAGCCGCAGTTAGATGTCATGGATGCTTCGGTTGAGATTCCTGCATTACAGGCGGTTGGACTAGCTGACACTCCGGCTCTCTACGCTACAATTCTATGATTCCAAGTGTCAAAAGCCAGGATAAAGAGGTGCATTTTCAGCTCCCTGCAAAAGTTTTACAGTGAAGGTGCCAGGTGCACCTCTGTAGGGAGGAAGTTCCAAAGCTTAGGGGCCACCCCAGAGAAGGCCCTCTACTTCTGAAGGTGGAGATTATTTACCCTTCCTCTCATTCACTTGTGTGAGAATAATGTCTAGTTAGCAGAGTTTAAAATTACAATCCCTTCACGGTATAAAATGTGGAAACTTCTTTTTTTTTTTATAAGATATTTATTGAAATTTTCAAAGTGTTACCAAATAAAATAAAAGCAGTAGAAAATACAAAATAAAAATAATTAACAAAGTAGGAAAAAAAGCAAACCCCTTCCAACCGTATGAATACAAATTCAAAGATAAGAAAAAGTGACAAACAAAAAAAAAGAGAGAGAGAAAATACAGAAATACATCACACACAATTAAAAAACATTTAAAAACAAGTTCATTATTCTCAAATCCTCAACTGTCATTACCTTCTTTCTTTGACCTCCTCCTCCTCCCTTTCTTTGTATCCTAGTTATTAATTATCCCAGCAAATCCTTTCCATATTTCATAATATTCTGTCATTACATTACCCTAAACTGTTTTAATCTTATCTTTCTATAATAAAATAAACCTTAAAGCTTGAAACTTAAATCTTATCCTTACCAACTTCTCATAACCATAATATTCTTTCATAATTCTTTAAACATCTTTACTAAAGCCAAGTAATTTCATTCCAACATTTTTCTAACATTCATCAATTTTATAAAACAGTTCTAATGGTAGAAAAAAGAAATACAAACAAATCCAATCTTCATCCAACGTCCCTTCCTCCTGGTTCCGGGTTTTGTCAGTCCTTATTATCCCGTCGATCTAGCCCATTAACCTGGCAGCCTTATATCCGAGGCCCTCAAGTCTCTTCCATGTCCCTTCCGCAGCTCTTCTTCATATTTGTAACTGTATTTTCCCTTGTCTCCTGCTCGTGGTAACTCCAGCTTGGCAATATTTTTAACCCTTCTCGACAGGTCAGCCCCTTTTCCATATTCAACACTGAATTCCATATGGTATTTAAAAGCATGTTTCAAAGACCCTCCAAAATTAAGAGCCCCCACAATCCCAAACATCTCACGGCCCATTGCCAGATTTGAAAAGTCCAAACATCCCAGCATAGGGGGGTCAATCCAGCCCCCCATTTCCAAGCCAAACCAAACTTTTTCTTTCCAAATCTGGCTTTTTCCAAGTTCATTTGTCAAATCCGAAAACTCATATTCCTGTTGGGCCTGTTCTGTCAGGACACACTCCTGATTTAATTCCTGAGTAGGCTCCACGTATTTTCCCACTGTCTGTTCAAAATTTCCCACTGCCTGTTCAAAATTTCTAGTCGAAGTCGCCATCCAATTCACCTTTTCATGTAATTGTTCCAGTAGGGCATTTGTTTTATAGAAAGCACACAACAAAGCTTCTGAATACATTGTCCTGCAAGGTCAAATGCCTGTTCCCAGGATTGTTATCTGTAACAGCTGCCGGCTCCCTGGAGTTGGTTACAGTTACACAGTCTCCTCTAGGGGGAAAACTTCTATTTGTTCTTGCAACAAAGTTTCCCTTTTTGAGATACTTTGTCAATATTTGTTGCTTAAAGATGCGAAGGGAAGCAGTGGAATCGCTATGTTTCTCTTCTTTTAGCTATCTGTCAAAAATGCTTGTCTCTGGTCAATGAACTTCAAACGTCAGTCCTGACACCCCGCTCCAGGATCAGGACGGAGGAAAGTTACTTTACTTTAAACTCACTTTAAACAGTCCGGAAAAGATCCCCCTCCTTCTCCTGCTGTCGAAGGGGGGTCCACAATTTTAAATGATGAAATCCAATCCTTTAAAGGCGATTTTCTAAGCTCTAGTTTACGTTGTCTTTGCTTTATTCTGTCTACAGAAGAACGGAAGGCTGACTTCCTGTTTAAACCTTCCCGTTCCGTACCAAATTTAAATAGGTTTTTAAAATCCAATTCCTTTCTGCTCGCAAGTCCTTATCTAATGTCCAGTTGTTCAAAGTCTAAGTACTCACGGGTGCTTATTTTAGAGTCCGAATTGTCCCAGGAAAAAGGCAGCGCTCTCCGGCAACGGCTGTGCGGCTTCGCTCCACGGAAATAGCAGTTGACTCACAGCACCGCGCCACTTCCCCCTCTTCACTTCGGAGCCCGTTAGTGGGTTCCTTAGCGAGTTGGGGGGGGCGCTAAAGGTGCCCGCCGAGTCCCATGGTCACAGGCTTCATCTGCCTGTGATTTTAAAAAGGGTCCCCGCTTCGCCATAGCGGAAAAGACCCGTTTCCCGCGGAGCTAGTCCCTCCTGTTCAGAGGGAGTCCGCCATTGCCGATGGCGCCACCCCGGAAGTAAAAAAAATGTGGAAACTTCTTAGGCAAGGTTACTTAACCTTTAGCAGACTGGATGCTTTAGCAGACTGGACCTTCTCCTTTTTATCCCTCTAAACAAAGGAGGGACACAGAAGTCTGTAGTGTAAGAATAAAAGTAGTTTTTACTTACATAAAGCTTCAG